GGGGGGGGGGGGGTAGGTGCTCCTCAGCAAGCAAGGGAAGGGTTCAATATCTATGTCAGTCCTAGGCTGACACCTTCCATCTTTCTCTCTCCCAGGTGAAATGCTGAGCCTAGGAGTGGGAATCTTGGTTGGCTGTCTCTGCCTTCTGCTGGCTGTTTATTTCATCGCTAGGAAGATTCGGTGAGGTCCTACTTCCCATTCCTCTAGTCCCTTCTTTTCTACTGAAAATCACTTTTCTATTGCACTCAGCTGTCTTGCCCAGGACACCAGTCATGTCCATGAACCATTCCCCCTTCCAGGAAGAAGATGCTGGGAAACCAGAAGAGTGTGGTATTCACTTCAGCACAAGTCAGCGAGGCATAGACTCCCTCTCGGACATCATGGATACCTTCTCATCACACCTGTCAGGGAGCTTCTAGAATGGGGTGCAGGGACTGGCCATAAATACTGTAGAAATAGCAGGCAGGCACCCCTCCTTCCTCCAGACAGGCTCTCATTCAAGGAAGAACAGCCGAGCCTTCAGTCTCTCAAAACATAGAGGAGGAGATCAGGAGACCCCTACATTGATAATGCAGAGGGCAAACTGTGTTTAGTTGTAGGGGAAGTTGGGAATGTGCTCCAAAATCCCCCACTCCCTCTCCTTTATGTCCCTTTCCCTAGATATGGGCAGGATATCTCTTTAGGAAAAAGGGCTGCTGTTTGGGGGGTTATATTTTTGTTCAATATATTTGGAAATTAAAGTTTCTGACCCATCTCTGGCTTTACCTCTGGGACTCTCTTGAGAGTGGGAGTTCCTTAATCCCTCAGATGGCAAAGGTGGGCAAAAGGTAGGGAAAAATAAGCATGGGTGAGTAACTTCTTTTCCCTCAATCCTGGAAGAAAAGACCCTAGAAAATGCTTAACCCAAAGTTTCTGACATGTTAAACCATCAGCCCAGATTTCTGCCCTTGCACCAAACCTAGGCTAGGAGGGGATCAAAGGTGCCACGTTAGGAAGGAGTTTGGAAAAGAGACATGAGAGGACAGGAATCTCAACTAATATGTTATCCCCTTCCTTAAAAGGCACATTCCCCCACAATTATAAAGTCCTTTTTATTAGTCAAAATCACAATCACCTTGATTAAAAGGATGGGACACGCCATCCTCAGCAGAAAATGATACAGTTTATAGAAAACCTCCCCACCCCAGCCCACACATTCCCAATTAAAAACTAGAAAAAAATCTGGCCTCCTTCCCTACGATGTCATGGTAGGCTGACTCCTCCAGTGGCATTGCAGCTCTAGAGTGGGCCAGCTCACCACAGCACCCTCCACTTCACCTTGGGGAGAGGAGGGATGCTGGTGGTCAAGGAGGTTAAAACATTAGTTCCAGTAATACCAGTTCCCAAACATGCATTTCCTTCCTTTCCCCCAAGGCCTGGGACCATGGGGAAATGGGGATAAATATGAGCCCAGCCATAAGGAACAATCTGAGGAGGGAAAATAAGTCCAAGGAGGTGAGAAGTCCAACATACCTCCTCCCTACCCCTTCTCCAAAAAAAAGAAAAAAAAAGAAAAAGGCAGTTTTTGGGTCCTGATCACACCGAAAATGGTTCCCCTCAGACCTGAGAAAAAGACCAAGAAGTCCAGTCTGGGGAGGGGGTACTAGGAAACTCAGAGTCTCCATTAATTTCATCTTCATGGCAACAGCTAAGCTAGGCCCCTTTTCTTGGCAACCTACACTGTCCAGAACTGGAGTTGGAGAAATACAGAGCGAGGAGATCAGGGGAGCACCCCAGGCACAGGGGTCCCCCCCCAGGTTCCCTCAATCCTCGGGTGGGATGCGCAGGGCAGAATACACCATCACCTGACTGTCCTCCTGCCGTCGGCCTGCAGAGGGGAAGGGAGGTGAGTCTTGGGCAGGGTGAAAGCAGAGCACTGACACATGGAAAGTCCTGGATAACAAGGGGGTCCCCAGATGGTGGGGATAAGTGCAGATTCAAACCCACCAGTCACTGACTGGCTGAACCCAGGCTGCTCCTGGTAAAGCCTAAAGGTGACCAGTGGACAAAGCAAAACCCTGGAGGTGGTAGGACAGACCGACGACAAGGAGACAGAGGATGGTGAACAATGGACCCGGGCTGGGGCTGGGCTCAGTCATGGGCAGTGGGCAGACAGGTGGGATCTGTCAGGTGATCAGTCCAGGTAGTCAGTCCTTACACGAGAGGCTGCGCTGGATACTTCGGAGGGACCCTCCAGCTGTAATGAAGGCCCAGAGCCCCATGGAAACAGTGACTGCATAGATAGGGAGCAGGCTGGCCTCATACCACGGGTTCAGGAATGTCTGGAGATAGGAGTAAGAGTAGAAAAGAGGTTAGAGTCTCCCTCTGCCTAATCCCCATGTACTCTTTCTGCCTTTGCACCAAACCTTCCCCAGATATCTCATTCAAATCCTCCAGTCTTTCCTTTCAGAGCACCAACATCTTGTGGTTAAAGGGACTTCTGATTTTCAGCTTCCTCAGAGGTTTCTGCCACTCCTGTTCACCTCAGGCCATCTGCATTACAGTCTGACCAATCCATTCAAACTCCTCCCCAGAGCATCCCCAGAGAAGGTTACATAATTGATGCAGAGGTGAGAGATCTCTAAAGACTCACTTTTCTGCCCTCTCCCATTTTAAGTTTTAAAATGTTAAGAAGTGAAGATATATTTTCCCTCCATCCAACTCACCATTAAATTCTTTTCTGACTCAGGCCCCTGTCCCTGACTCACCAGTCCTGATGTCAGTAGGTGACTCCCAACGACCAGGCCCAAAGTCCAGTACCGTCTCCTCTCACAGGCATCAAAGAACACAACTCCCCAAAAGGTATGGAGCAGGATGATGGCTGCCGTCAGAAAAGCTGCAGGGAAGGAGATAGGGAGGAGATACATCCCGTACCTTCTCCCAGCCTCCTGAGATGTTGAGCCACAGAAGTCTCCCAGGGAGGGCCAATAAATCAGATCAGGGCCAGGATGGATGGGGCATGAAGGCAAGATAGAAAGTGGATCTTACCTGAAGTCAAGAAGTAATAGGGTGAATCTCCATGGATCCCAACCACACCTGGCCCAAGTGCATCGGCCAAAATATTGATAACAGAGAAGACACCACTGATGATACCGAAAGAAAGACCAGAAACTGGGGGGAGGGAGGGTCTCATCAATGTCAGAGATCACTATTATCTGATTACCAGTGACCCCTCCCCATTCCCAGTCACAATTCCCCCACACCTACTCTCCCTCCAGACCACCTCTCCTTGGAAGTCAGATATGAAGGACAACAAGTAGCCACTTAGAATATACGGTGGATGTTTAGAGACTTCCCTGGGAGAGGGGGGTGTCCAACACCCTCCTCCAGTCCCTCTCCCTTGGCTCACCATAGGCCATCTGTCGGATGGAGATGGGTGATCTTCCGTCCTCACTCAGCGATGCTAACCCCTCATCTGCCTTCCTGGGGTGAGGTGGGGTGGGGTGGGGTAGGGGAAACATGAGGGAAGGCAGGAATGCTCCTTTCCCTCTAATATCCTCCCTTAGTGCCTCCTCTTCCAAACCACCACCCAGGGGCTGCCCCACTTCTCATTGTGCACTCCTCTACCCTTCTCCCCTCCAGACCATCTTCTTACTTAAGCAGCTTGTAGTAGGCAAAGCGGAACACCTCCTGAAGAAGGACAGAGACGGCAGCACCAAAAATCAGGAGGCCATACTGGAGCCGGGCATCTGACGGATCGGTCACATGAACCAAGATGAACCAGACCACAGAGGCCATGAGCAGAGAAACCAGCCAGAAAAATGCCCTGAGGAAAAACAGGGGCAATTAGACGGGCAAGGGTAGAGGCAGCAGAGAAATCAAGGAGAGAAACCAACCAAAGCTGCGGCATGAAAAGTGGAAGTTAGACTTCCGGATGGTCAGGGAGACAGGGAGCAGATAAGATAGGTGTTCCCACCAAGGGAGTCTATAGGGTTCCGGACGCAGGGGATGGGGTAGAAATTGATTCAATAGCCTTCAGAGCAATGACAGTCCGAGTGTATGAGCACAGTAGGGCGAGCTATCCATTCCTGTATCCTCCCTTAGCGCCGCCCGGTCACCACAGCCCCCTCCCGAGTCTTGGCCTTGGGCCTCCTCTGACGTCGCCGGAAGAACTATAGGAGGAATCTGTGCGATCCCTGGAAGGCGGAAACCAACTGCGGAAAAGGGGATATCACCCAAATCCCTGACTCAACCCTTTCCAATCTTCACCTCCAACTAGTCACCCCCAACTCCGGCTCCCAGGCTCGCCCCAGTTCCTCTAGCCCCTTCCGGATCTCTCTGTGGCGCCCTCCTGAGTCTCCCCGACCTCTACTCACCCTGCGACGAGGATGATGACACGAAGCGGGTCCCCAGCCACAGTGATCAAGAAAAGCGCAAAGGCCGGGCCGAAAGCGACGAAAGTGCATCCGAAAAACACTGCGGCCCCCATTGCTTGGCAGCTGGGGGCGGGGTGGAGGCCTGGCCAAGAGAGGCAAATGGGAGGAGCACGCCAGCTAGAGAGTCCGCGTGGGGTGGCGACGCGACCCCGTTAGGGGCGCGGTGCAATGTCACCCCCGGACCCCGGGGAAGGGGAAGGGGGGGGACACCGAAACCCCAAACACAGGTCCGCGCGACTTCCTCTACGGAAGCCGAGGAGGGGACAAACCCCCGCGGCAGCCCTTTGGCCACCTCCCATCTAATCCCCACTTCACCCCCCGGCCAATGGAGAATCGGAGGGGGCGGAGCTGCGGAGACGGGGGCTGCTGGGAGTTGTAGTCCTCCTGCCTTTCCAGACCCTCAACTTCGGGGCTGGGCGTGGCTCAAGCTGGTTGAAGGGAATTGGCGGGGCCTGGGCCTGGGCGGGACACAGGTTTCTGAGTTCGGCTGGGCCTTGGCTGCGATTTCATTATTTTGTGGACAAGAGTGACAGCAATGCTACCTCTACCTTAAGAGCTGCAGAGAGGGGAAGATTGTCGGAACCTAAGGGACAAATACGACGAAAGCACAGGATAGAGGTTGCAGGGAGACAGGCACGGGTATTGTTCTTACTTGAATGAGAGGAAATGGGCTAGAGCTACTGCCTAAGAGATGAAGGTTAGACTTAAAAGTAGGAGCTCTTTGAACAGGCTAGTAGAGCAAACATGCAGTGCAGTGTAGTATATCGCTAATGAAGCCTTCATTGGTAATGACAAGAGAATCAGAGAGAAGGAAAAGGAGCTTGGAGAGCAATATTAGGAAGGAGGTTAGAGGGGATTCGAAGTTAAAATTGTAAAAAGCAATTAGAGAGATGGGGGAGGGAAAGTTACTCTCCCCCTCCCCCCCCCCATCCCAGTCACTCAGTTCCTTTTATGTCATGCTTCCTGTCTTTCCTGAAATGAACCTTGGTGGTGTCTTTTTCTCAGGCTGGGGAAAGGGTAGGGGTTACATATTAAAGTGAAAGGGTAGGAGAGGAGGGTATTATACCATCATTTGCACGGTGGTGGGGTTAGTCCTTCATGAGGATGTTTAGGCAAAAGGACCAGGATGGGAAAGTGAGGGAATCTGGAATATTGTTTTTGAGAGAATAACCGAAATACCGAAAACCTGTAGAAGTTGTTCAGGAGAACCAGTCTTCCATTCCTTCCTGAAAGTGATTTATGTTTTAATGCATATATATCCACATAAGTGTTTTATTTATTTTTTTTCCAGGAAATCTGGAAAGGAGCTGAAGGAATAGATTGTATAGATTTACATGGAAAGTCACCAAGCAAATCCTCTCCCAATAAGACTGAGAGGGAGGGAGAATCCTTGACAGTGCTAAAGATTCTAGTGTGTCTTGCTTCTGAGCCTAGCAGGCCAAGTCAGGGGAAGAGGTGGGGGTAATACAACTTTTCTCCTGTCTCCTTTGAGCTCTTACCACAGCATTTCCTGACGGATGAGAGCAGGCAGAGAGCAGGTGCTAAATCTATCTTGCTCACGAGTGGTTCCACAGAGACTTGCATAGTGCCTGGCTCATAGTAGATGTTGAAAGATATTTATTAACTCCCTTAAAAAAAAGCACATTGTATTTTTTTTCTTACTCTCTTGCCTGTGATCCCTGAATTACCTATCAGACTCGGCCTAGCACTTTGTGCCTAGTGTGTATGTTACCAAATGTTTCTGAATAGAATTCAATGAAAATGGAAAATATAAAAGCAGAGAAAAAGGTAAGATGAACTCTACCCCTGTAGGCTGGAATGAAAGGAATATACCAAGTGACTGAAAGTGGAAGAGGTGTGGCGCCTACAGCAGGGAAAGAGACTATCTGCTTTCTCCCTTCTTCCATCCCGTATCCAGAAAGTTGAGAAAGAGGTGAGGTGAAGTCAGTACTTACCAGAGAGGAAATAACTGGCCTTGGCTGAGAGATTTTTATCAAAAGCAATGTTGCATATGTTTTGAGAGTCAGACAATGATGTTGATATTGCTCCCATACTTTACAGTCAAGACAGGCAGAAAAACGAGACTATTTTCCACTAGAAAATGTTCATCCCTTCTCAGAACATGTCAACTGTGAAGAAAGGGATTGTGATTAAGCCTCAGAGAGAAGGGCAACTCTGGATGGTGATGGTAAGTTAGGGACAGTGAGAGGGAAGGTGAGCTTTTATGAGGACTGAGAGAGGGAAGGAGAGGAAGGGAGAGGGCTTACTAAGAGAAATTTCTTAGTAGTGGGGGTGGGGGTTGTTTTGTTGTTGTTGTTTTTGCTAGTGGCAGCAGGAACCCTGAATGGACCTAATCTAGGGCTGCGGGAGCTCAGTGAACACGTTCCCATCGAAACCCACTTAGCCTTTCTTACTATGCGCAGCTCTGGCTGAAGGCAGGACTGATAGCGACCAGTGACAGTCAGGCAGCAAGTGGGAGGGGAATTCCACCGGTAGAGGGGAGTTGCTGCAGCTCCCTCCCTGCTTTGGAGGAGGACCGGAGGCGGGCTACGTTTGGTGGGAAACGCTGTAATTTCCTTTTTTACTCTCACAGTAGTAGTGCAGTATCCACAATGAATGTCCTCTTTGTAGCCATCCTTGCTGTGCCACTTATCCTGGGTAAGTTCACTTATCTTCCTGAGCTTTAGGGCCAGGTCCTTTACCATAAATGAAGTGGGAGAAAAGCAAATGAGGAGAGTGAGAGAAGTGCAGTTCTGTAGGGAGTGATAACATGCTCTCATCTGTGCTCCAGTCCAGTGTTGGGGGTGGAGGGGAATCTGGGAAACAGACCCAGGAAAGGGGGAGGAAAGCAGAGTCCTGTCAAAGAAGAGACAGCTGATGAAGATGAAGCCCCAAAACTTCCGAGGTCCTAACAGAGTGAACTCAGCTCTCCATCACCACAGAGTTCAACAAGATGAGAGGGACTAACGTGAGAGTGAAGGAGAGCCGAGGACTCTGAAGGTGGGGAAGTCTGAAACTAGTGAGGGAAGCCAGGATATCTTCTTTCCCAGAATGTCCTTTAGGGTAGTGAAGAACTGGGTGCCTTCAGGCACAGTGTCTGAAAAGTAGCTTGGCTCCTTCCCTCCTTTGTTCCCAGTCTGCCAGGTGCTCTTGTTTCCTTTTCCTCCACATTCTTGTGTCATTGCTTGTGGTTAAGGGAGAGACTTCAAGGAGCTTAGGAAAGTGTTTTAGCAGGAGGCCTAGAGTTCTTGATCCAATCATGTCAAAGCTACATGTTTTCAGTCTGGGGAAGGAAGAAAAATGAATGCAGATGGGCCATTCAGTCCAGCGGACTCATTTTAAGAAAACAGATGTTAAATGGCTTGTTCAGCGTTAACTTGCTAGTTAGAAGTGAAACTGGAGCTATAGATATAAGTTCAAAGCCTAATGGGATATGTGTGTTCATAATTTGTGAGACATTGATAAGAGAAGAACTCTCATAAATACAGTACAGCCTGGAGCATAATGAATAGTAGATTTGGAGTTCTTAATTTCTGGTCTCTCTCTCTGCTTCCTACCTTTTTAAGGTTTAGTTCTTGTTTTGGGTTTACAGTATGTGAAGGGATCCGTTTTCTGTTCTGGGAGTTCCTGGATTGAAAGGGCATAGAGTAACAAGCCTCATCCAGATATGAAGCCTGAAAGGGGTTTAGAGGTACAGGGATGGGGGGATAGTATGACTCTTGGAGGTGAGACAGAGAGAAAGGAAACTGATAGAGCTGAGATTAACCTCAAGTGTCCTACTGTTGCCAAAGACACAGTATGCCCCTTGACCTCTAGCTCTTGTCCCCATAGGACAAAAATATGAGGATGAAGAAGGACTGGAAGAGGATGATTATTATCAAGTGATCTATTATTATACAATCACCCCCAATTATGGTAAGTGTGTATAAGGCTCTGACCCTTAGCAGGATGGAGAGAATTTTGAGGGACACTTAGTTCTGAGACTTTGTCTTTCCCTTTGCAATAGAGCAGCTGGGTCAGAGAGAAATTTTGCTGTGAGCAAAGACTATGAAGGCTCATGATGTCACTTCTCAAGATAGCAGTTTTCAATTCTTTGGACACTGGTTGAAACAATTTGAAAATTTTCAAACTTGTAAATTATTTTAGATGTTAGATTGTAAATATAAATGCCGATGTGGCTCAGTTGTTTGGAGCATTGTCCCATACACCAAAAGGTGGTGGATTCGATTCCTGGTCAGGGCACATGCCTGGGTTGTGGGTTCAATCCCCATTTGGGGTGCATACAGGAGGCAACCAATCGATGTTTCTCTCTCACATTGATGTTTCTCTTTCTCTCTCCCCCTTCCTCTCTCTGAAAAAAAAAAGAAAATATACATACACATTCACATTAAAGTTCATTAGAATTAGATTATATCAGTAAATTTTACAACTTGAACAAGTTGAAATGTTCTGAGCAATTTCTTCCTCTTCTCGTTTCTAGATATAGTACCACCTTTCTCTTTTGTGATTACTGATTATTTTCTCCTCCCCAGATGACTTTGGTGCAAATTTCACTGTTGATTACTCTATATTTGACTCAGAGGACAGGCTGGTGAGTGACATCTGAAAGGATCGGGATAGGTAACAGTTAAAAAGAAAATGAGCAATGTTGAAGTGGAAGTTATTAGCAGAAATAAGAGTGAGTTAGGTGAAGTGAAACTGGCTGGTAGGAACAAATAGATCTGACATCATAGCTGGGGAAGGGAAGAAAGCCAGAACCCAGTAGGTTAAGAAACTAAGAGGGAGGGTTAGTCCTTCAGTTAGGGGAATTGGTGAATGGGATGGGTACACAATCCAGGTAAGGGAGGGAGGATCCCTGAGTTTAAGTCTTGGAGGAAGGGGGCAGGAGAGGTGAAGGAGAGAAAAACTCTAGAGAATCTATGAAGATGTTGGATGGGAGCGATGCTAACTCTTTGTTTCCTAATCCTACTGAGGACAGAACAGCTTAGATAAGAAGGTAACAGAAGCAGAAGAGACTACCATTAGTCGTGAAACAGAACATGCAGACCATCAGAGGCCTTTAACAGTGAAACCAGTGACAATGGAACCAGTGAGTTAATTGGGGATAAGATGGGAGGGAGAGGAGACGTCCCTTACCATGGATAGATCCCAGGGCTGATGACATGGAGCAGAGGAAGTTTTGGAATACCAGGCTTCCGTGGATGGGGGAACCAAATAGCTAGTATTGCAATGCAGGTGTTCATTTCAGCCTGGCCATCATGTCTTTCACTGAGACTTAATACTAACCCTGTACACAGAACCCTGGGAATATTTGGTGCAGTTGAATTTCAGTTCAATATGTAATGTATGTAACCTTGTGTATGTAACCCATGCCTAAAGCAGCTAAGGATGCTGTTGCTGCTGAAAAATAAATCTATGATGTTGTTATTGCCATCAAAGTATTTATAAAACCCAAGTTTACATTTATGGAACATTTAGAACAAAATGAAAAGACGTGTAACAATGTTAAATTACATACAAATTTGAGAGCATATGACATAGACAAGTGGCAGAAGTTTGGACTTATAAGAAATAAGGAGCCTAGTAAGTTCTTCAGGGTGGTAAAGATGCAATGAAAGCAGTATTTTAGAAAAACTATTTGTCTGGTTGTACACAGAAAGCAATGGAGCAAAGAGAGATGCATGAGATTTCCATCATTCCCAAAACAACCCATTAAAGGCCTGGACTAGGGCAGTGGCATTTTGAATGGAGAAGAGGAAAATAAGAAATATTTGGGGGGAGAAACACTTTGTATCAGTGATAATTTGATATGAGCACTGAATGAGGATAGAGTTAAAATAACTTATGTTTTAAACGTGGATGTTTGGGGCAAATGGTTGACCACAATGGGATGTGGGAGGTCAGAGTGTTTTACAAGTGGTTAAAATTTGGTATTGGCCAAGCTGAACTTATGTCAACAACCCTATGAGGCCATCTACAGGTAGTGGAATTAGGCCAGGACTGCAGTTCTAAGTGCAAAGTCACAGTTGCGAAAGTAGATGAGCTCAGAAGAGCCTGTACACACAGAAGACCAAAAGGCCAATGCCTGCCTGTAGAAGGTGAAAGAGGAATCAACCAAATAAATGCAGATAGCCAAGTTTGTATTATAGAGTCTAGAAAAGAAAGTTTAATATAATCAATGAAAAGCTACCAAGAGGCCAAGGAGAAGGAGGTTATTCATAACCCCCCAAAAAGCAGTTTTAAGTGAGTGGTTGGAGCAAAAGCTAGATTTTTGTGGAATTAGAGAGGGGGGTACATTGTGAGGAAGAGCATAGACCAACCATTTGTGATATCTGGTAATGAATAAAAGAGAAGCAACAGCTAGAAAGGGCAACAGGACCAAAGTGCAGCCTGAATATAGTTGAACACAGATGGGAGGAATGGAAAGTTGATGATTGACAACAAAGACAGATAAATATTTTAAAGTATATAGTAAGCTTCCTTTAGACTGTAAACTCCTTGAGTAGGAGCCATGTCTTAATCATATTTATATCCCTCCTGTAGCATGTAGCACAGTGACCAACACCTAAATAAAAATACATATTGAATTGAGTTGGGCCTCCCTGGTATGGTCAGGAAAGGTTGAAAGGCACAGAGGAAAGGATTCTTTATAGTGATGGGGAGGAAGTTTGGTCTTTCTCTATGTTCAGAGTAAAGGAAGACAAAAATTGGTATAAAGAGATGACTATCTTTCCAGAGGGTGAAGGGGTAGTAGGAAGGATGACGCTGGCCTACTATGGTGTGATATCTGTATTTTAGCAGAGTCCAGACATGAACCATGCTGCATCCAGTCTGCAGAGTCCTGTTTCCCTTCTCCTGTCCTGGGCCCTCCTTGAGGGGTGGATGTATTTCATGTAGAAGGTGAGAGTGCAGCCACTGGGCTTGGGGAAGTCTGTGAAGCAATTTTTACCACTACCTCTGGATAGTGTTTCCAGCTTGGTCAATTTTTAGATGCTTAAAAGAAGAGGGATCACATTTAGAAAAATCTTCTCTACCTTAGGAGATGTCCAGGCAAAACCTTTTGTTATAAGAGTCATTACTTTCTCTGAACTGGGAGGATATCAGGACCTCCTAGAGCAGACGCAGGTGGAAGGGAGAAGAAACCTGTCCTGGTTTCCAGTCTGCCTTGAGGAATTAAAGGTGGTTCCAGTCTGGTGGCAGTTTAAGGCATGGCAAGTGCCAGAGGGCAAAATGGGAGGGGCCCTATAACCTAGCAGAGTCAAGAGGCAAAGTTCAGAGGTAGAAGGGATGGCAGTTCCCTA